CCCCTCACCTGCCCGCGCGCGTGGGGAAGGCAAGGCAGGCGAGACGAGGAGTCGAGGACGGTGACGTGGCGGGGGGCTAGGCCGCTCCTGGCCACGAGTTCCCCCCGCTCCCACCGACGCCCCGGGCCCACGTCCCCAGGGACCCAATTGCCAATACGCGGAGCACGGAGGGGCTAAACGCGAAATGTTTTCTCTCTCCTCCCCTCCTCCCTCCTGTTAGCTTCCTCCCTCCCTCTCTCTCTCTTCCTCGCCATCATCATCCCCGTCCGATCTCCCTCCCCCTCCCCCCGACCCCGGCCAATCGGAGCACCCAAATCCGCCCCCGCCGCCGCCGTCTCCGACGCGTCGCCGGCCGCGGATCCCCGGAAAACCCAGGTGCGCAGGGCCCGGCTCACGCCGCTCCGGGCCTCCCCCGCCCAGATTCGCCTCTGAATCGCGGTTCCCCGTTTGTTTTTCCCCCGGCTAGCTCCGCCCGTGGGTCCTGATGCGGGTTTCGCGTGCTGCAGGAGGAGGATTCCCGGCGGCCACCGTCCGGGGCGGGTTCTTCTCGCCCCCGGCGACGGAGGGGAGGCTGGGTTTCGGCGCGCGGCGTGGGATGAGCTAGATTTCATTCGACCTAGGATGGCGGCCGCGGCTTGAGCCCGACCACCGCCTCCCTCCCTCTCGCCCCGGTTAATTATTTGCTACTGCTGCTGACAGAGATTTTAGCCTAGCCCCTAGAGCCTAGAGGTGTTGCTGTTGGCGATGAGCTCCGAGGCCCCCAAGTGAGCACCACTCATCACTATGCCCTGCGTTGTCTGTTGCTGCCAGGGTGCTAGAGACTCCCCTTCATCTGATTTGCTGATCCGCTGCGCCGATTGCGTGTTTGTCTGTCTGTGCCAGCAGGAACATGAGGACGGTCTACTCGAGGGAGTTCCTCATCTCGATCGGCGAGTCTGACCGCTGCAAGAATCTGCCCCCCGGCGTCAACCTGTCGCTCCTCAAGTACGCCTGTCGCTTTGCCCTCCTTGTTTGTGTAACTTCTTTCATTTGTCTGCGGCGTTCAGGTGGCGACAACCTTTTATCTCTGTCTTTGAGCAGTGAGCTGCAGGAGGCGTCGTCGGTGGCGTACGAGAGGGGCAACAGGGGCCAGTACACGACGCCCCTGGGAAGGTCCGACGGTTCCGGGGGTTACACTTACTCGTCGCGTGGCGGGAGCTCCGGCGGAAGGTGGGACACTCGCTCGACGGGGTCGAGTGACCGGGAAGGGGACTTTCCTGACCGCGACTCGTTGACACAGGGTAAGCATGCGTTCTTTTCGGGCAAGTGTTTGCTGTCAGTACTTGCTTTCCTTTTAGCTCTGGGAACATGTGAAAGAAGAATTAGCTAATAGTTGTTACGTTACCCTTTTCGATATGACCACTCCGTTGGTGAAATAAATGATATTTTGTTGCGTATCAGGAGCTTTTTACTCTGTGTCTCAAAAAGGAAACCTGATGTGCTAGTTTGTGCTTGTGTGTCTGTCGGTGTCGCTAATAATAGTAAACAGATGAAGTCAATTAATTACATTGTCATACTGTTTATATACTAATTTTCTTTCCTGTGCATCCTAACTTACACACTTATTACTTTAGTAGACATGTCAACTGGCATTCTTCTTATCTGCTGTGGTATTCTTTTTATGTCTGCAGATAGGCATAATGGAACCCAATACAAGCGCACTTGGCAAAAAGTAGAACATGATGGCCTACTGGGAAGCGGTGGATTCCCTAGACCATCAGGATATGCAGGGCCGCTGGCGGCCAAGGATCGTGGGAATGCGCCTCAGCCAAACAGGACAGCTGAGCGCTATCAGCCACCACGCCCTTACAAGGTCTGAGCTTCCACGCGTGTCTCTCCATCCTTCTTTATATTGTAGATCAACTGCAATTGTTTAGTGAATACATTACACACCAATGACAGGCTGGACCTCTTTCACGAAAAGATGTTGACTCAATGAATGATGAAACATTTGGGTCTTTTGAATGCTCAAATGATGATAGAGCAGAAGAAGAAAAGAAACGAAGGGGTCAGTATTTATTACTGCCACGTATAATGTATGTTGTTTCTGCTGTAGTCATCTACAATATCTGATGCTGCCCTTCTGTGCAGCATCATTTGAATTGATGAGGAAAGAGCAACATAAATCTCTGCAAGAAAAGAAGAGTGGTCCTGGTGATGATATCATGACGATGTTACAGAATTCTACTGAAAACTTAGGTTCCGCAACTAACAGTGGGAAGCCAGATGGAATAGTGCCCTCAGTTCATCAAGATACCACTAAAACATCTTCAGTTCTACCAGCTCCTGCGGCGAGGCCACTTGTCCCGCCTGGTTTCTCAAATGCAGTTGTGGAGAAAAAGGTTCAGTCCCAGTCGTCCAACATTGCACTTGAACCAAAGGTGCACAGCTTGACATTGTTTCAGTAATATAGTTAGATGCCAGCAAATGCATGCAATCATCATCTAAGTAACAGCTCTGTACCATGTAGTTGCTAACAAGATCTGGTATTAAAAATTAGTTTACTGAACCATCACATCTTCTCTGTGATCAAAATTGGTCAAAATCTTTTTACTATTGCTGACAGTTTTTACTCATGTCTAATGGGTTCATCTGTTTATCTTTTACTGACATGAGTGTAATACCAGGTGAAAAGCAGTTACTTTATAGTTTATGATACTCATGCACTATGAGATATTGTTCTGATTTCTGCAATTACTAGATTGATGTGTTCATCAGTATAAAGGGAATATCACTCTTGGGATTCTAGTTGCCATCTCTGTAGCAGAACATGTTAACAATATACTATCTGCCAATGCCATACTGTTTCTCAGTTGTGTTTTGCTCTTTTTTAGGCTCACATTCCTGCTAGAGAGGATAAGTTACCGACTATTGTGCAATTTAGTAGCCAAGTAGAGGGAAACCAGTCAGCAACAGACATCACTGCAAGCAACAAAAAGAAGGGCATTTCTGACAACATTGGTGTACATCAAAAGCACACACTTCCATCTGGAGGCGTTCGCTCTTCAACTGAATTTGTTCCTAAAATTCTGAAAGGAACTGAGGAGTGGGAAGCTGATGCAATGGATGATAAATACTCCATTGAGAAACAGGGCATGTCAAAAAATGGTGGTTCAGTTGGGAAGGACAATTCAATCTCAATCTTGGAAGAGTTCTTTGGCAACGCATTGTCAAAAGGCAGTGGCAATTTACCGACATATGTTGAGGTACTATGCCAACTAATCCTTATTTTGTTGTGCTCACTCTTACGTTCCGACATGTGCGGTTGTCTCATGTGGATCTCTGTCATCTCTGCATATAAGCATTAAATACTCACATATTACAAAACTAAGACCATTTTGTACGGTTATGAGCTGTGACATGGACCAACCTTATTCTCTGAATGTAAATGTGCTGTTGACTGAATTTGCACCTCTGTAATTTTATATCTGATGTTATGACGGTTTTATGCTGTTCATGTCGTCATAAAATCCCAATGGGTCTTACTCAAATATGATCATCTTTTTCTGTGCCAATTCAACAATTTTTGTTTCTGGGGATGAATGGCTGCTGAGATATTTTCTATCAAATCATGTAAGTCATCTACATGTAGTCTTGAACGTTGATAGCTGATGGTGATATAAACTTCTTAGCCCTTTTACTTCTTTAGATGGCATCATACCCATAACTTAACCTGTTATGCGCTCGTGCTTAAAAGTAGCATTTGGTGATCACAGTGCAGAAGTGAAAATATTCCTGGTTATTGCCACGTTGCTGCAAGGTTCTCCAGTAAGAAGGAAGTTACAGATTTGTTGGGCATTCAGATATATCTATTAACTGCCGTGTGTTTATTCTGTCTCCGCCGTCTTTTTTCAGAGTCAACAGCTGAATACGGGTGCTGATATGATGGCCTCTTCTGTACCAGAATCATCCAAATTTGCTCGCTGGTTTCGTGATGAAGGTAATCCTGTTTCATAATTGTGTCATATGCTATGTGTCAGTCAATAGAAGTAGAATCGTCATGCCACGGAAATTTCCTAACAGAAATAAATTTTGTATGCATATCCCTCTTTCCAGTATGCAAAGTAAATTTAGGTTAAAAGACATCTTTACACTTCTCCTTTTATTTTACAAGGTTCTTTTGATGATTTTTTGTATTTGCATATACTGTAGATTCAAAACCTTCAGAGGACTTACCATCAAAGAGCCTGCTCTCCATGATTGTGAACAATGACAAACCAGGCCAACAAAACATAGTTCCTGGTCCAACTTTGTCTGACGGTGCTATTCATCAGAATTTATCATCAAAATTAACTACTGATAAATTCGATGCTTCATCAAGGCTACTACCATTTCCATCTCCTGCACCTGCTGGTGGTATCCAGGAACAGTACAGGCATGCTGGTATCCCAGAGCCACCAGCTCCAGTTATGATGACATGTGAGGATCTTGAGCAGGCGATGCTGGCACAGGTTGCTAGCAACAGTGGTTCTACTCAGAAGAGTGCTGTACAGAGGCATCAGGCTGTTTTGGATGAGCCAGCCACCAAGCAGAAAGTAGCTGTAGACAATCATGCATCACACCATCTTCTTTCATTATTACAGAAGGGAACAGATAGCAAGGGATCATCTCCGTTTGGTTTCCACATAGGATCAGCTGATGAACCACAGAGTTCTGATGTAAATGCCATGGCCAATGGTGGTATATATGGAACTGTTCCGAGTAACAAAACTGAAACTGTTCCGATTAACAAAACTGAAACTGTTCCTGCTTCAGGGAAGAGCGTGACCTTGGAAGCATTATTCGGGGCTGCATTTATGAACGAGCTCCATTCCAAGGATGCACCAGTTTCTATTCGGGGATCTGCATCTAGTCATGAAGGATACTACCCTGGTGAAGAGGCTCTGCCCTTCAACAGCAATGAAGGTGGAGATCCTTTTAAAGAACCAAGAACTGGAATAGAGTACAGGAATACATCATTCAGTGGTCCAAGTCAGGGTACCAGCTTTGACAAGAATGGGTTGGAAATTAATCTGCCTGAGGAAGACAGTTTGTTTACAATGAATGACTCTTTCGGTGTTCGAAAGCCTGATATGTTGCCATCACTGAGATCCGGTAGGGTGGAGGTGCAATTACCGGAGAAGGCAGTTGATGATCTTAACTATAAGCTTCAAAGCCTTGTGCCTGGTGATGTAGAACCTGCTCAAGTACTTGGTCCTGATGCTCTGGGGCCTCGTTCCCATGAACAGCGTTATCAGGTTGAGTCCCAGAATCTTTACCATCTTCTACAGGGTGGTAGGCAACCTGCACTGGCTCCTCGTCCGATGCTGGATCACGTTGGTAATAGGAGTCAGCAAGCCCCATTTGACATGCCACAAGCGATACGGCATGATCCCCGTCGTTCCTTCCCACCTAACATGAATCCTATGCAACACACACTAAATGCTCCAGGGGTCCCTCATGTAGATCCTGCTGCCCATCATCTTATGCTGCAGCGCATGAGTGGGAGTTTTCCAGCAGAAGGCTTGCCAAGAGGTGTTCTGCCATCTCAGCCTGTGCATCAGGCGGCTGGTTATAGACCTGAGATGAACAATGTAAATAATTTCCATATGCACCCTTGCCAGCCCAGCTATGGTGACTTTGGACTGATGCCGCCAGGTAAGAGTCTGTACAAGTTCATTTTGTACTTTGTGTTGCAGTTTATTCCGTCACTGTTTGGTTTGTTTCAAAGTTTTGATGGCAGAGAGGCTCTGGCCTGCTGTTGGTGACTAAGACAAGAACGATCTGTTTAGTTCCAAAATCTGACTTCTCTTAGTATTACATTCCACAAAACCCACTCATTCAAGTTGTGCCTGACATTTTACCAATCTGAATTGGTTGATTGGAGTTGAATTCTACATCCTTTTGGTGGTTATGATCTTTCATCGGAACTTCATTTACTGTTAAAACATGAAAAGACAATCATTTATACTCAAAGTTAAAGGTAGTTTACTATCTCCTTGTTTCTCCCTGATTTCAGGGAAATGGTTTCTTGTTTTTCCAGTTTGAATTAGCAGACACGTGACATCCAAACCGTTCAGTTTTATCCTGAATTTATTATGATCGAACTCTGTTTTCTTTATGTAGGTCCATCGGGTCCAGAGGTGCGAGGCAACCACCCAGACGCCTTTGAGAGGTTGATGCAGATGGAGCTCACAGCAAGATCAAAGCAGATACATCCAGCCATGGCCGGTCCTGTGCCTGGTGGCAGCATGTACGGGCCTGAGCTGGACATGAACCTGAGATACAGATGAAGAACGTCTCTGTTGTGCCTGTCGTCGCCATTCCCTGTTACCCAAACAAACCACCATGTTCTGTGTCCATGAACTTGCGCTAGCGTTTGCGGTTGCTACAAGATAAGATAGCTCGTCGGGGAGGAAGTGTCGCTGGTGCGGGCGTGCGCCATGTATGTAGTACTTTGTGTCTGAAATGGTTGGATGGGCTGCTGATGATGATCTGGTGAGGGAGGGAGCGAGGGAGGATACATTGGGTGCTGTCATTGTAGCAGCCACATCTGTACCTGTGTCTGTGTCTGTGTCTGTGTCTGACTATTTGTTTTTCATTTTTGTATAAATACTAAAAAAAGGACCAGATTAACAATAACATATTTGCATTTGGTCCCCCTGATGTTTTTCTTTCTTTTTTGAGGAAAAACTAACCATTCACATCAACCGGGATAAAAGGCTGTGACACAAAGTTAAAATCCAAAAAATAAATTAAAAAGACCAATATATCGATGGATGTCAGCCTTGGACAATACTGTGTTTTTTAGCCCAACAAAGTGGGAGAAATGCACCTCATGCTGAACTTGATGGTGTTATTAGTTGGTTGGGGTAAAATGCTTGCGGAAATCTGTGACATGAAGTTAAAAGCTGATCATCACAAAACCAAATTGTGTACATTTAGATCAATCTTAAAGGACAAATTTTATGTAGCTTATAACAAAGAAAAAAAGCAGTGCCATTTTAACCTTGTTTTTGTGAGGGTAAAATGGGAATTTGTTTTTTGACTGTGTTGGAGTCTAGTGTTGGTTCCCATCAGCCATGGGCGCAGCCGCCACCCCCGCCTCCTCGTGAGATCCTCCCGAAACCCTAGCCGCCGCGCCCAATGGCGTTCGCGCCGCGGCTCCTGCTGCCGCCACGGCCCCCCTTGCCCGCTCCGGCGCGGGCCTCCGCGCGCCACAACGGCGGCGGGGGGCGCACGGCGCCGGAGCTGTCGGGCCCGACGCCGCGGGTGGTGGTGGTGACCTCGGGCAAGGGCGGCGTGGGGAAGACCACCACCACGGCCAACCTGGCCGCCTCCCTGGCGCGGCTGGGGCTCCCCGTGGTGGCCGTGGACGCCGACGCGGGCCTCCGGAACCTCGACCTGCTGCTGGGGCTGGAGAACCGGGTGAACCTGACCGCCGCCGACGTGCTCGCCGGCGACTGCCGCCTCGACCAGGCCCTCGTCCGCCACCGCTCCCTCCGGGGCCTCCACCTGCTCTGCCTCTCCAAGCCCCGCTCCAAGCTGCCCCTCGCCTTCGGCTCCAAGACCCTCACCTGGGTCGCCGACGCCCTCCGCCGCGGCGCCGACCCGCCCGCCTTCATCCTCATCGACTGCCCTGCAGGTCCGGCCTCGCCGCTCGCCGCATTTTTTGCTCGCGTGAATTCCGCATTTGCATCGCCCTGATGAGTCAAAATTGCAATTAGCTCATTTGTTCAACACAATCTTATCAGTATGATTCTACCATGAATCCATTACCCATGATATTCTCTAGTGTAGTTCAGTTGATTAATCGTATGATTATACCGTAATACCTCTACACTCTAGTACCGATTACTCTTATAAAATGGACAGCGTCGTGTAATAACCAGTATGGTTGATTGTCAGTGTTCTGTGCCCCTTGATTTGCTTGAGGAATGCAGCTACTGCTGTTTGTTCACCCCTCCCTAGATCATAAGGATTTCAGAGCCAGGACTTGTTCTGAATCTCTGATTGTTTCATGATGCGTGTGCACTTGGCCGGTATGGGGATGGTATCTGGATTTGTCAGATTTGAGCCATTTATCGGGTTATTCTTACAACAGTGTATCTTAGTTTTGCATTTTCTTACTGCTGTTCTCAAGCAGCATTATTCAAGTTTCACTGCTTGAACTTGTCCCCGCCGTTTTAACAAACTGCCTGGTGGCTAGTAGGATCATGTATCTGTAATGTACTCCCTCCGTTCCAAATTACTCGTCGTGGTTTTAGTTCAAATTAAACTAAAACCACGACGAGTAATTTGGAACGGAGGGAGTAGCAGTGAACATTTGCATGATTCTGTAGTATAATTTGCATCATCAGTAACAGTTCTACAAGAAGTCTGATTCCTTCCCAGCCTCTGCAGTTTGCATTCAACCCTGTTTCATGCAGTTGCCTGAAAGGCTGAACCGCTCATCTTTACACTGCTTATCTTGAGTTTTTGCCTTGTAGGTGTTGATGCTGGGTTTGTCACAGCCATCGCCCCTGCAGAAGAGGCAGTGCTTGTCACCACTCCTGACATCACGGCACTCCGTGATGCAGACCGCGTCGCGGGGCTGCTGGAGTGTGACGGCATCAAGGACATCAAGATCATCGTGAACAGAGTGCGGCCGGACCTGGTGAGGGGGGAGGACATGATGTCAGCGCTCGACGTGCAAGAAATGCTCGGGTTACCTCTGCTAGGTGTGGTGCCAGAAGATTCAGAGGTAATCCGCAGCACAAACAGGGGCGTGCCGTTGGTGCTGACGGACCCGCCCACGCCTGCAGGCCTCGCCCTGGAGCAGGCAACGTGGCGTCTGGTGGAGCGGGACGCGATGACGGCCGTCATGGTCGAGGAGCAGGAGCGGCCCAAGAAGAAGGGCGGCTTCTTCTCGTTCTTCGGCGGGTGAAGCCTGAGCTGAACCGAGCCGCTGGTGACGTGCGTGGTGTGTATAGAGCTGCGATTTGGAGCTGCTTAGTCGTTTTTCGGTTTGTTTTGCTCTTGTTTTTCCTAGCGTAGCACGATTCATTCGGTGTGCTTGATTCCACAGAGACAGACGGTCTTTTCTTTGTTCTTCCAAATTTACGCCGAACATTAGCAGAGTAAATGTATGTAGTTTTGTGGTTGATTGCTTCTTGCTGTTGCAGTGAGCTCATCTTGTTGGAGTGTTGTTGTTCATGGCTTAATTTTGATTGTTGAACTGACATCCAGAGGAGATGGGAGAGAAGAGGAGCAGAGCCAGGGGCATTGCTCCTTTTATCCCTTCCAGGAACACACCCATTGCAAGCCATTAGAACAATATTTCTTTGTTCCTTTTTCTTGGCATTTGTTTGAAATGTTCAGTTCTAATTTGTTGCATTGTGGGCAAATTTGTTGCATTCTAAAAAGAATAAACATCATGGTGCGTCAGGGCATGCAACAATATATAGGAATTTATAGGACAGTAAAACCGAACCTAAACCCAGCCCCTCACGACCGTCTGTTCACGTGATCTGGCCGTTAGAATTTTTTTTTTGAGCAACTTCTGGCCGTTACCCCCGCAAAAAAAAAAAAAAAACTTCTGGCCGTTAGATGTGCTGTCAGTTTTGTTCTTTAACGCAGTTTTTTTATGGGCCAACTGTGGCAGCTACTCCAGAAGAAATAACTGAGCCCTCTAGTTATTTGGGCCTTTTCTCTTAGCCCAGTTACCAATTTGCTAACTACAGTCCGTTACGGGAATGAGTCCAGTCGATCCGTCGTTGTGGGTGTTTTCCTATTTGCCGCTCGCTGCGGCAAGTTGCCGAAATCGCTAGTTGATGAGTACTCGTTGCAAAGATCTTCAACTTCCCAGATTGCAACAAATGACGCACATGCAGCGCGTCACTTGTCGCAACCTGGGAATTTTCTCTTTTTTCGTAGATCCGTTTATTAAGAACGTTTTATCTTTCAAATCGAGCGTTCAAATCTTAAGCCGTTTTCACTGTTGGATTCGTCGCGTCGAGATCTTCAAAACTAGATCCCATGTTAATAGGTTTTGACTTTTGACGAACAATTTTTTCACGGAAAAACCGGACGGAAAAACCGAACCGGGAGCACGGATTTTTTCCTTTCCGAAATAGGCACGCCCGTACCTCTCACAAAATCACAATCGTGCCTCTCGCGGAAGCAAAACCGTGACTCTCACGAAAGGAAAAAAAAAGATAAAACGAAAGTACGACCGTGAATCTCGCGAAAGTACAACCGTGCCTCTCACGGAAGCAAAACCATGACTCCCACGAAAGAAAAAAAATACGTTTTTTCGTTTCCGAGAGGCACGGCCGTGACTGTCGCGAAAGCAAAAACCGTGCCTCTCGTGGAAGGAAAACCGTGACTCTCGCAAAAGAAAAAAAACACGTTTTTCATGCAATTTTTTTTCAATTGTTTTTTTTGTCGAAAAGCTAAGGAAGACCGGTGGAAAACCAAAACGTCGAAAAAACCCGGAAAACCCCGTTTAAATAGCCAAAAACGCGTATGGAAAATTAAAAAAAATAAAATTCAGAGGGAGTGCGCAGGACGCGACACGTGGCGAATGGCTGAGAGCGCGCCAAATGGCGCTGATCAATGCGAGGCTCTTGAAGGAGTGCTCGTTAACTAGTGGCTCCCGCAAGTTGCGAAGCAACGCACAGGGAAGATCAACGAGCATTCGGGATGGGCCGGCTCATTAAAGGTTTCAGCGCTTCTGGTTTTGTGAAGTTTCTAGGTGGTTCCGAGCCGGGTTTTTCCGGTTATGAAACCTTCTAGGAGATTCCTGAACCTGTTTTTTTCATTTCCTTTTTTTTACTTTTTCTTCTATTTTCATTTTCATTTTTTCAAGTTTTCTCTTTTTTTTTTGAAAAATGTTTGTGTTGCTCATAATTAGTTCAAAACTTCACAACATGTTCTCGTTTTCAAATATTGTACCTAAATTAAAAAAATGTTCACGCTTTTCAAAAAATGTTCAGAAGTTTAAAAATGTTCCTTTTTAATTTTTGTTCAAAATTAAAAAAAAGTTCTTTATTTAAAAAAAATGTACACATATTTTAAAAAATGTTTGCTTTTCCCAAATTTAGTTCTAGGGTTTCAAAATATTTTCTTTACAAATTTTCTCATAAATAAAAAATGTTACCAATTTAAAAAAAAATCCTAAAGTTTCAAAAATATTCATTCTAAATTTTGTTCAGGGTTTCTAAAATTGTTCAAAAGTTCATAAATGTTCCTGGTTTTTCGAATTTTGTTCACAAGTTTAAAAGTTCATAAATGGGCCCCTTGTGGCTCCCCT